GACAACAAGGCCATTTTGGCCTTGTGTCGAGAGCAGCGACTGGAGCACAGGACAAAGCACATTGCTCTCCGCTACTTTCTTGCTCGTGAGCTGCAGCAGCGTGGACAGTTGCGACTTGCGTACGTGGCCTCTGAGGCCAACACTGCTGATGTGTTCACCAAGGCACTCGCGCCTTGTGATCATCAGCGTTGCTGCACGCAGCTGGGTCTTGTGCCTGTCTTGTCTCACTTGCTCACTTCTTGACCTTGCTTGTACCTTGACCTATATATACTCTTGCTCTTGCTTGCTTGACTCGTGTATATCTCTATGTATGATCTTGCATGCGAACTGGCCTTGTGGCCCCTTGACCTTGTGCTCGGAATGTGTGGTGACTTTGTGATCCACCCTGAGCTTTGCTTTGCTTTGCTTGACTGGTCTTGTGACCCCTTGTTCTCCCCCACTTTGCCTATGGAGGTGTGTCAGAACATTATAGCTTACTTGTTTGTGTAGGCTATAGTGGGGTATCCCATAGGGGGTACAACCCAATTAGGGTTTCCTATTTGTACTCACCTCGTTCGTAGTCAATTCATTCACGTTCCTTTCTTCACATAACAGACAATGCATACATAGCAGCTAGAATAGCCTCATAGTCAAGATCAAAGATTGGTACATCACGCCTAAGCAAGTCTGCCCAGTTGGGGAACTCAGTAGCATCGGGAAACTTGGCGCGCCAGGCGTCGCTTAGTCGAGGAACTCAGTGTGAAACCCTGTGCACTGGCGATTAGCGCGGGGACCTGTGCGAATGATATAGGGGCAGCGACCAGGACCCCCAGAAGCCCCACGCCCGGCATACCAGTCAAGAAGCTGCTGGGAAGTGGGGGTCTGGCGCTGACGCTGCTGGTGCTGGTGCTGCTGCTGCTGCTGCTGCGGCTGCTGCTGGCCCTGACCACCACTGCCACCACTGCTCCCTCCTCCCTTACCGCCGCTGCTGCCCCCTCCACCGCCCCCAGTGCCTCCGCCGCCCCCACCACCACCTCCACCCCCTCCACCCCCACGACCACCCCCACCACCTCCACCGCCCCTGCCGCCTGCACCACCGCCACCTCCACCGCCGCCCCCACCTGCCTTGCCACCCTTGCCGCCCCTGCCGCTGCGACGCTTCCCACTAGGAGCGGAAGCAGCCCCGACCTCCTCAGCACCAAGGTAGTCGTGAGCAGCAGCAGCGGAGGCGTAGGACGGGGTGAGAGGGGAGGGGGAGCACCCCTCAAAGAGGGGAGAGCGAGGAGTGCCACGAGTAGCACCTACAGCGAGGATGTTCTTCTCTGCTGCAAGGAGGTGCTTCTCCAAGTCGTCGACAATGAGAGTGGGGGGGTCTAGCGCTAGGAAGTGGTCCCTGACCGAGTGTCAGGGAGGCGCGTAACGAGGAAATAGAGAGTGAAGTACATCGGGGGGGGGGTTTGCGGCGCAGAACTCGGCTGAGAGGGCGGCACAAAAGCAAGTGTCAGTAGCGCGGAGGTGAGAAATGAGGTCCTCAGCAGTGGTGAACGAGGAAAGGTCGGGGAACAGGTAGGGTAGCATGAGTCGACCTATGGCTGCAGTGGCCGGGGAGGAGTAGCGTGCAACTACAACGTCATACAGCTTCTTAGCAGTTTTGTGCTGGCTGAAATGCGCGCGCTCAGTGATCGGCACATAGTTCCTAATAGCTAGGCGTGCAGCAGCATCGCGAGTTTGCCACTACGAGCGTTCGAGAGCAGGAGCATCAGCAGCAGGAGCAACGGCAGTGCCAGACACGTAATCGAACAGTGAAACGCCCTCTTTGGCATCGGTCTGAAGGAACAAATGCAGGTCGTCTAGCCACACAATGAACTCTATGGGGCGACCGTCAGGCTCGAACGCGAGAACATTAGGCGTCGTCATAACAGCAGTAGGCAAAGGCAGCAAAAAGCAGGCAGGCAGTAGACACGAGGCAGTAGGCAGTAGACAGCACGCTAAGACAGAGGCAGTAGGCAGTACAAGCAACGTGCAGGGCAGTAGATTGCTGCACCCGAGCTCCTAAGGTGGGGCTCTAGACAGTGGCAGGTCGTACAGTTCGAAGGCAGTGGGTTCGGCAGCAGTGAGCCTCACAGGCAAGTACACAAGTAGGGCGCGCGCGGTTGCTGGCTGCGTGCGGCTGAGGGCCGCGCGTGGCTCTCTGCTGCGCGTGGCTACGTGCTGCGCGCGGCTCCTGGCTGCACGTGGCGACGGACAGCGCGCGCGCGGGCGGCGGGCTCTACGTTGCGCGCGGGCGGCGGGCTCTGCTTAGGCTGCGCACGGGCGGCGTAAGGGGCGCGCGGGCTCTACGTGGGCTACGCGGGCGACGCGGACCGGCGCGCGGCTCTGCAGCAGTGGCGCGCGCTAAAAATCAGAGACGCGCGCGCTAGAAACCGAGGCGCGCGCGAGAAAAAATAAGTGATGCGCGCTGCCGCCGAGGCGCGCGCGAGCAGTAGGCAAGGCAGGCAGTTAGGTGGGCCCGATTCGTAGGTCCTAGAGACCTCCTGCTCTAGTTACCATGTTAAGAACCTAAGGCAAGAAATGAGTGAATTAGGTGAAGGCTAGGGTACAAGACTAGGGTATCGAGAAAGTTTGTGTACCCCCTAGTGCTAACCCCCATACACCCTAGATAACCTAAACAAGCATATATATATAATTTGGCACGGTCAACAGTTATCAGTGTCAAAAACGCGTTCACCACTGCGGTCCCACGGAAAAAAAGTGGCGTAGAGGATGAGGTGTTCCCCGTTGACGCGATCACTGCTTTCGTCAAGGGAAAGACCAATCCAGGGCGACTCCAGTACATGCAACCGCTGCACTTCCTGGAGGTAAGCTGAGATTGCCCTGAGGTTTTCTCTGAAGCCGTATCTGCAGAGGACATGAACAAAACACAGCATTTAGAACGCAATTGGCGCACAACGCGAGCCACACTTCTAACAAACACGGGCTTACTCTGTGTAGTAGGCGCCGTAACCACCACTGTTGGGGAGGTCGGGAAGACCTTCCTTCGCGAAGAACCAGCAGAGCGGGATGAACATCGCGATTGGCGCATCCGCCTTGCAGACAAAGAGAGCGATGTGCAGAACGCGAATGATGTGCCTCGTCGACGCGTCGGTCGCCTGCCAGCGGGTGATGCTCACTTGTTTCGCCTTGTCCGCTTCCGCTTCTGCTTGGGCTTTCAAGGCGTTCTTGTGGGCTCTCGTCGCGGAATGAGCCCGGACGCTACCAATCTGGAGGTTGCGCCCACCCTCGCCCTTCGCACCGTAGCTAGTGTGAGCGGTGGGGTCTCCATGCTGCACGCAGATGTCGCACTTCAACTTGGCAACACCGTTAGGCAACCGAATGAGACGTAACCACTTAAATTTATTCTGCCACTCAGACTCATAGCGATGCTTTATCGTGTCATACATAACATCACCGGTTGTTTTTGGCGGCGCTTCATCTTCAGGATCAGCATCACGTTGCGGAGAGGCAACCCTCCGAGGAGGAGGAGCTCCCCAGAGGCGCTGCTGCTTGTACTTCACAGCGACCCGCGGGCGTTTGACCGGCGTGCTGTTCACAGTAGACGGTGAATCCGCCGGTGGCGTGGACGACTCTTCCCCACCGCCAGGCACCAGAACGACTGACGGGTGCGGCTCCCACTCACCCGACGTGGATGGCGGCTCGAACGGGTACACGGTGCCTACACTGCGCACTGGAGAAGCGGGACGTGGCAATGGTGAAATCGGCACGCTGTAGGACTCAGGCAGGCGGGGAAGAACACCTAGCACAGATAGGCCATTGCGCACTACAGCAGGCGGTTCTTGAGAATGCTCGGCAGGCATGACTGAGGCATGGGCTGGAACCTCGATGGTGTTTCCTCACGGTAAGAATGAGCAGGAGGAACAAGATGGGGTGTCCTTGGGAGCACACAATGCCCCACCACCACCTGTGATGGCCCCGGAGTGCGGCTCATGCGTGGCTCGCGGTGCTTCCTCTTGCGTGACATGATGTGCCCTGGACAGCACGAAACAGCTGCTTCCTGCACCGCTGTGCTGTTGGCGCGTTTGTGGACAAGGCTGGCAGCTGTCAAATGCTGCTCTGGCCGTGATTTCATGATGCGCTGTCAGCATGGCTGCCACTTCCACCTATGTGGTGGTTACGCGGCACGTCGCGGGAAAATTCCTCGGGACTGCACCTGTGGTTGATGTCGTCTTATGTGGGTGCTGGCCCCGCTGTCCTTCACGCAACGTGTTCATAGTCGGATATCCTCGGTTCCGAGAAACTCAGTATCAGCGTAACTGAAACCGTACCCTGAACACTCGGGGTAAAAAATCCATCACACTGTTTTACAAAGGGAAAAAAAAAACTACACTATCTGGCCTAGGGTAAAAATCCTAATACCCTGTCTGGGAAAGGGTAACTCAAAAAAAGCAGCCGCCAGTCAGTGCAAAAAGGGTATTTTACCCTGATAACGAGAGGCCTGCTCACAATCTTTTGACATCACCTCACCGCCAGCATCTCCTGACAAACCACCACCTGACATCACATCACCCTTCTCTTCAAATAGCCCACATGGCCAACGCAATATACGGTAACGCTTTCTCTGCACCTGCCACCCCTCCCCTACTACATGCCAGTCCATGCCCACTCATGAGGTGACTCAAAACTCCACCACCTGTGCTGTATTGGCACCACGCCCCTTCACTCTCATCTACTGTATGACCCCAAAACGGATAACTCCGTAGTGTCTGCCCTTTGCGCCCGCCACTCCCCCTAGAGGGTCCACTCCCCCTCCCCACATCATGATCCCCACGTCCCTCACATCTCGCTCCACCAGCTGTGTCAGACTCCCCACCGCCTCTGCCTGTGTCGCCACCACCCCCCTCATTCTCTCCATACTCCACTCCTCCACCCTCACTCCCCCGCCCTCCCCTGCTCCCCCTGCTTCTCCCCCTGCTGCTGCCCCTACTCCTCACATGTTCTGCGTCTGCCCCATGCCCCCGTATGCCCTATGCTCCTGCCACTCCCCCTATAGGGTCCACTCCCCCTCCCCCCATCATGATCCCCACGTCCCTCACATCTCGCTCCACCAGCTGTGCCAACCTCCCCACCGCCTCTGCCTGTGTCGCCACCACCCCCCTCATTCTCTCCATACTCCACTCCTCCACCCTCACTCCCCCACCCTCCCTGACTCCTCCTCCTGCTCCTCCTGCGCCTGTATCCGCTCCCCCGCCCTCTCCCCCCCCATCGGCCAGCATGCTGGCTGCTGCAGCGAGGGATTCGACCTTTCTAGGGAGCTCTGATGCCCCACTGCAGAGCAGACGGAGGAGGGACTGGCAAGTAGGGAGGGGGGGGGTGGGGGTGAAGGAAATGAAGAAGGACGCACAGGCTGCAAAGTGAGGGGGAGTGGACACAAACAACAAAATCAGAACAGCAGACCTGCTGCAGCGAGGGACTCGACCTTCCTGGGGAGGTTTGATGCCCGCTGCACAGCAGACGGAGGAGGGATTAGGGGAAGGGGGAGAGGAGGGGATTGGGGAGAAAGGTGCGGGAGATGGCGAGAGGGGACTGGATACCGTATATAGTCCCTTCGAGCGCCATCCTGTTAGGTGCGTTGGGATGAAAGGAAGAGAGGAGCAGAAAAGCACATGGGGGCTTTTGAGATGTCTCAAAAGGTGGCTTTGAAATGGAAGGACGAGAGGAGCACAAACGCACAGGGCGGATGGCATGCTTGGGAACCTTGCCTGGAACCTATCTGGAAACTCACCTGAAGCCCATTTGAGAACTCACCTGAAGCCCATTTGAGAACTCACCTGAAGCCCATTTGTGAATTCACCTGAAGCCCATTTGTGAACTCACCTGAAGCCCATTTGTGAACTCACCTGAAGCCCATTTGTGAACTCACCTGAAGCCCATTTGTGAACTCACCTGAAGCCCATTTGTGAACTCACCTGAAGCCCATTTGTGAACTCACCTGAAGCCCATTTGTGAACTCACCTGAAGCCCATTTGAGAACTCACCTGAAGCCCATTTGTGAGCTCACCTGAAGCCTGTCTGATAGAAGCAGCTCTGTTGGCGAGAGAGGGACGTGGGGAGACGTCCTGAGCTCCATGATCTGAGGGGAGGGAGGTGGAGGGGAGAGAGGAAAGGAGGGGCGAGAGGGAGGCAAGGGAGAGAGCAAGGGAGGCACAGAGGTGAATTTTGAGTCAGAGAGGGACGTGGGGTGGGGAGATGTCCTCAGCTCCATGATCTAAGGAGAGGGAGGGGCGGGAAGAGAGTGAGGAGGGAGATGCGAGAGGGAGGGAGGAGGACAGAGGGACGTGGGCCGATGTCCTGAGCTCAATAATCTGAGAGGAGGGAGGGGCGAGAGGGAGGAGGGAATAAAGGGAGGGAGATGCAAGAGGGAGAAAGGTTGCTGGACATAGGGATGTGGGGATATGTCATGCGCTTGAGGTGGCTTTTGAGTTGACTCAAAAGTCACCTACATATACATGCATCTGCATTTCGAAACCTTTGTTCTATCTGCAACCCTAGGTTCCGACCAAACTCCTCCCCGCTTTCCTGTCACGCACGTAGACCCCCCATAACCTTCCCGTACCCCCTTCAAACGTACCTCCACCAGTCGCATCAGTCGCAGCATCCGCTGCTGCAGCTGCTGCTGCCTCTGTCTCTGATTGGTTGCTATGCCCTCCTCCTTATGCCCATTCACACCCCCCCATAATCCCCACACCTCCATAACCCGGCAAGCGCACCGCCACGGGTCGCATTTCCATGAGCTCCATGCCTATTTTCTTCACTTGCTAAAGCATTTCCTAGCAATGAAGCCCTTCCTAACCATGAGTGACGACCATAATCCCCACATCTCCATAACCCCCAAACGCACCACCACCCGTCGCATCAGTCGCAGCACCCGCTGCTGCAGCTGCCTGTGCGTTTACCCACATGCTCATACTCATGCTCATGCTCATGCTCATGCTCCTTTTTTATACCCCCATGCGCCCATACAACCCCCACCCCCACAAACCCCCCAAACGCACCTCCACGAGTCGCATCAGTCGCAGCACCCGCTGCTGCAGCTGCTGCTGTCTCTGCCTCACCGCCCCCTGCCGGCCCTCCGTCACGGCTGTCACGTGCGCCCTCACCTGCCCCACTGCTGCTTCTACCGCATCCAACCGTTGTCTATCCGCTTCTATCGTTTCGTCCTGTAAGAATGAAGGGTAAGACACAGGGGGGTCATCAGTCACTGCTGTCATGTGCGCCCTCACCTGCCCCACCGCCGCTTCCACCGCATCCAACCGCTGCCTATCCGCCTCTATCGTCTCATCCTGCAGGGGGTAGGGAGCAAGGGGTTCAGGGGGAACAAGGGAGGAGAGTCCCAAGCTTCTGCTGCTGCTGTCACGTGCGCCCAGTGCACGTCCTCCCTTTCCTATAAGCCTACCTGCACTTGCAGCCGCTTCGACAATCCCGAGAATCCGCACACCATTTCCGGCCAGAGACCGTCCGCCTGGTTTTCAGGGCCAGCCGCTGCCAGCAGGCGAATCGCCTCCTGCCACGTCAGCTCGGGGACGTTCGGCGGGCGGAAGCGCGCCAGGGGGTGCGTGACGCTCAGGAACGGGCTCACGAACCGCCCTAGCGGATTCCGCGCGTCGCCGAAATACGCGGCGGCTATCGCGGCGACCTCCCTTTCCGGAAGCGCCCCGGACCATTGCGCGGATTGCGCCGCGAACTGCGCCTGTTGAAGCGCTCCCTGCTGCTGCTGCTGCGGTTGGGATAGGGTGAGTTGACCGCCGAAGCCAGGCGTCGAGGAAGCGGCGCCGAATGCGGAAGTAGGGGTAGCGCCGAATGCGGAGGTGGTTGTAGCGCCGAATGGGGAGGCAGATGCGCCGAAAGCGGGCGTCGACGCAGCGCCAAACGCGGGGGTGGAGGAAGCTCCAAAAGCGGAAGTGGAAGCAGCACCGAACGCGGAGGTAGGCGTAGCGCCGAACGCGGAGGTAGAAGCAGCGCCGAACGCGGAAGTCGGAGATGCGCCGAACGCGGGCGTGGACGCGGCGCCGAATGCGGGAGCTGATTGGCCGAACGGCGAGGGCGTAGCGGGGGTCGTCTGGCCGAAAAGAGACGGCGCCGCGGCGGCTTGAGTTTGCTGCCCGAACGGCGACGGCGTGGCGGGAGTTTGCTGGCCGAATAACGAGGGCGCCGCGGGGGTTGTCTGCTGCGGCTGGCCGAACAGCGACGATCCCGCTGTGGACCCGAACAGCCCGCCTCCCGTCGTCATGCGCGGCGGAGCGGCGGAGCGGAGGACTGGCGGAGCGGCGGGTGGGGGAAGCGAACGGGTCACACGCGGAAGGGGAAGTCTTGCTTCTGGAGGTGTGGGAAGAGAGGGATTGGCGGCGGTGCTAAGATCGGTGGTCACTGGATGCCCTACTGCACTGCAGCACAGAGAGAAGGGAGAACGGAGAACCTAGAGATCACAAACACATACCAATATCGAGGACCCAAAAGTTCAATATTGATCGAGTCGCCACCGAAATGCAACCTTGTCTCAGTAGCTTAAAACGTATTGCAACGTCGTTTAACGTATTCAACCGCGTTACAGGGACGTACCCCGAGCCTGATAAGAACGCGCTGTTGTAAACCTCGTTTTGAGATTAGTGTGTGGACTGCTTGTGCCGAGAATTAATGCTGGATGTTGCAACAATATTTCTTTCAAAATCCCCTATTACAAATCAATTCATCAACACAACTAGACAGACACAGAAAAACAAAATCGCAACGATACAAAACCTAACAAAACACAACCATTAAAAAGGGATATTTTACTGAAGGGACCAGCTCCCACTAGCCATGGCCTCAAATATTGAGTCTGGTCGCATTCTACAAGGACTGCCGGATCCAGGCCCAACCTGAGAGCAAAGCCTCTCCAGCAAACCCTCAACGCCTGCACCATGTAAACCAGACCCACTTGGAGCCTGCTGTTGGTCTGCAGGGAGCCTGTTGCACCCGCCATTCACCCACGTTTGCCTAGGCTGACTTTGCCCTCCCTGGGAGCAAGGACTCTCCAGCAAATCCTCAACGCCTGCACCATTTAAACCAGACCCACTTGGAGCCTGCTGTTGGTCTGCAGGGAGCCTGTTGCACCCACCATTCACCCACGTTTGCCTAGGCTGGCTGGGTGCATGTGCATGGCGCCCTCTTTGCGCCCGGTAGTCGAGGGAAGCTAGCCACTCCCCCACAGTTTCACTATCATCCAGTACTGGGAAGGTTGCTGGAAACTCCAACGCCGAACCTGCTCCTTGCTCCCCAGATAACGGATTCCGCAGGCCTTGTAGTCCGCTGCATTCTTTAAGTGCCAGCTCATTGGCTCCCGAGTCGAAGCTGCTGCTGCTTCTTCCTTCACATATCGCCTTGGTCGGTTCGACAGGCATGGCCGGGTCGGCAGACACCCAAGGAGACAAAGGAAGGGAATTCGGTTGAATGCAAGCTGGAGCTGCTGGCATTCTGCTTATCAGGTTCAACAGAGCAGCTTCCAGGAAACTGCCTGCATTGCTTTCTTCAAAATGCCTGTGTTGCAAATCTGGTACAGCTTGATAGACACTCTCTGTACGGAACCTCCAATGCTCAGTCCCATGCAGTTTGGGAGTTGGAGGGACATTCAAGGCTCTTGTTTCCCTTGCCGCCTCCCTTCCTAGAAAAACTGCAGCAGCAGCAGCAGCAGCTGCAGCAGCAGAAGCAGAAGGAGCGAGAGCAGGAGCAGCTGCAGAAGCAGAAGGAGTGAGAGCAGGAGCAGCTGCAGAAGCAGAAGGAGCGGGAGCAGGAGCAGCTGCAGAAACAGCAGCCGGAGCGGGAGCAGGAGCAGCTGCAGAAACAGCAGCTGGAGCGGCGCGAGCCCCCGGCGCCCCTCTTAAATGACCACCCGTCAATTCATGCACAGGCTCGTGTGGTGGGACTGGAAGAAGGTTGATTACGCCTGCTTCTTTTGCCACCCAGGCTGCCGCAGGAGCAGCAGCAGCAGCAGAAGTGGGATTACCACCGTCAGCAGCACTCGCATTTGTGTCCGCCGGAGCAGCTTGAGTCGCAATGGCGTTAGATCCAGTGCTCACCCCAGGGGAACCATACTCAGTAAGAGCAGATTCACTAGCAGCAGCAGCCTCGATAGCAGGCGCTGGTGCAGCATACTCAGTGAAAATGATGCCTTTATCCGACTCAGGTGCAGCACACACAGCGGTGCCGATATTGTTAGCCAGATCAGCCAAAGCAGCTTCTATACTTCCGTTGTCAGACCCATCTTCGCCCGTCTTTTGCAAAGGGAAAACGTCCTCAGAAAATCCCAGTAATGGATGGAATTGGCCCTGCAGTCTCTCCCGGAAGTTGAAATACTTCCTGCAGAAGAGAACATGGGAGAGATGGGAAATAGTCGAAGTGGTCATTCAAGTCAGCCAATTACCCCCCTAGACGAAGAGATGAGAAAGAAGAAGATGAAATACAGACGGAAAAAGAAATACTGATCTCATTTCTAACCAGGAAAACAAGAAAGAACGAAGAAACACAGAAAACCATACTGTGCACGATAAAGAAGCCAATGGTACCTCTTGAGAACGATGAATCGGTTGCAACAGGCCTTGCTGTCCCGGCCTGGCAGCAGCCCCACGTTGACAACGGCCCTCCACTGCCTCGTGCCGTGCGCTGCCACGTGCAGCAGCAGCTTGCGATCCTCCTGACAGGGTTGAGAAGAGAAGGGAAAGAAAATAATAAAAAAAGGAGATTGAAAGCCAACACTTTCCTCTTCATGAACGGATTTAGAGGTACGAGAAGAGGCTTGAAGCAATGAGTCAAAATGCTAAAGAAGCAATGAGAGCAGCTCACCTCAGGGGTCCATGCCCGGCCAAAGGTACGGGTCCTTGCTCCAGCCGTCATGCTGATGCAGCAGCCGCTGTGGCAGTGCTGCCCTTGGGAGGGTTGACCGTTTGACCGCTGGCACAACTTCTCAGCTTCAAAGCGTTACAGCTTCTCCGCTCCTCAGAGTCTCGGCTTCTTGGCTTCTCAGCTTCTCAGCTTCTCGGCTTCTCGGCTTCTCGGCTTTCTCGGTTTTTCAGCTTCTTGGCGTCACAAACCCTTCCTGGCTTTCGGAAAGCCACCACCACGAGATGTGCTCGTTTTATATTCACGAGACAACAGACTCGAGCTGAAGTGAATGCAGTGGTATGAATGACGAGCGACGGGCGAACTAATAAGGATGCGCTGTTGACCTGACTTTTACGAAACCATCCAGCGGCCTGGCTAGGTGGCTGGCTGATTCGCGGGAACGATTGCGGCAGTCGGACTAGCGGCCCTCAGGTCCCGCTGTGGGCTACAGCGGTTTCCACCGGCGGTTCGAAAGCGAGGCTCCGCTCTTCAAATGCTTCAGGGTTTAGGGTTATCCGCGATCCACGGCGAATAAAAGATGGCCGCATTTGTCTCATGCGTGCTCTGCTACTCCTTGCGTGCAGTTAGAGCTGTTTAAGGTCGTTGGTCCTCAGTACAAGTTGTACGCGCGAATGCTGCTCCCCGAAATCACAGCTTTATAGGGTGATCGAAGTACTGCACCAACTCGACGTCGAGGGATCTCGGTAAATCCTGACGGTTGGAACCGTTGATCCGAGGGTTGATATTCACCGACATCCCTCGACGTCGAGTTGGTGCAGTACTTTGATCACCCCTTTATTAATAAGAGTATGCGCCGGGGCAATGTCATTACCTACCGGAGGGAACATTGACGAAAACCTTTGGCCACAGGTCCGTATTTTGGTGGTAATGCGAGCTGCGAGCAGCGGAATATCACATCGGACAACGCACGAACTGACAGAATTCTGTCCGTTATTTCGAGCGCTCCAAAATTCGGCATGGCCTCCGGGAATTGAGAGGGTTCCACGAGCTCGCATCGAACGGGACAACGCACGAATGGAGGCGATCTGATGTGGTTATTGGTACAGTGGCTAGTAATATTATAGCATGACTTGTGGTGAGTACAGTGGAGCTCCGGAAGCCGAGCCGCGCCACCGTTACTAGCATTTCTGTTTTACGGGGACGTAAAATGCAATGCAACCCCGGGCCTTTACGTCACGGCTAGAAAAAAGTCGCATTTAGCGAACCAATTGCGAGCATTAGATGGGAGTGGAACTGAAACAGGATTCTGTCGCGGAGCCCTTGCCGTGGCGTTTATTTCGTTCCCCCAGGTACGTTCATTTCCGTTGCCCATCGACCCGCTACAGTGACTTTCCGCGGAGTCGTACTCGTGAGACATGATTAGTTGATATATCCTGACTAGGTAGTATGACGTAGAATAACAGCTCGCCATCAGTAGAGGAGGAGTTTGGCGAAGTCGGGTCTGCGGTGTACACAATAATATAATCGAGAGTTTCTAAGTTTCTCTGTGCCCTGCAGCAAGCGACGTCAGGATAACACGGGTCCACTACACGTGCGACGCGAAGGATACTCTATGCTGCCATCTGTTGTGCCCCATCGACGCGACGCCTTAGGTCCCATCCCTGTCCAGGTCAGGTTATCTCGTCCATCTTATACTCAGCTTGAGCTCAGTCAGAGGAGCGCATAAAAATCATACATTTAGAGTCAGGACAGAACTAAGGCTTTACGCACTGTACGCAACACAGCACTATACGCCACCTGACGTTACTTCCAAGTTTGTTTCTTCCAGAGCAGAGCAGATATGTATGTGTGGTTGCGTCAGGCAGTATCTCGCTGCACTTCACTGCTGCTGAAAGGGGCTCCACCAAAAAATGCTCCCTCAAGTGGTCACAGATGCAATGAGATGGGTGATGTAATCATGGAGTTCGGAAGAGATTGGAGGATTCAGTAAGGCTTAAAGTGGTTGGGGAGGGTGGTGGGCTCTGTAGACGGGAGGTGCGCGGCGCGACATTGTGTGGCCGGGAGCGCTCGCGCCTGACAAAATTTGGGGGCGGGACGGGACTGGACGAAATCGTGGCGTGTAATGTTTCTGTTACAGAAGCCCAGTCAACGGGACGATGCGAGCCCAGTCAACGAAACTGGTTGCGCGAAGGAAGGTCATGAGAAAGCTCTTGTGGACTCCCGTATCAATGGTCACCATTTGAACAAAGATGCTCCACACCAGAAATACACCTTGGTGCTGTTCGACAGCACCAATGAAGCAAAAAACTAAGGGATATGTCGGGATCAGGAAGGTGGGTCTCGCCTTTCTGATCCCGTGAGTTAGGGTTCGTTTACCTCCGTCAGCCTGGTCAGCCCGAAAAAAAGGTGCCGAGCCTCCCCAACCGTTCGAACGTACAATCAAAGTGGGTGTCTGGCGAACGCCTCCATTTGTCCACCAAAGCGAACTGCTCGATGGCATATGGAAGCGGGGAAGCAACTTCGTCCTCAGGAAAAGTTCTATCCCCAAGCCATGCCATCGCCATGCCGCGCTTTTCGAAGCACAGCGATGGCACAACCTGTGATAATTGAAACGAGAATGAATCAACAATGAAATGAGTTAGTACAAGTACTAACCCTAATTGGGTTGTATCCCCTATGGGATACCCCACTATAGCCTACACAAATGTATAAGCTATATAGCATTCTGACACACCCCCATAGGCAAAATGGGGGAGAACAAGGGGTCACAAGACCAGTCAAGTAAAGCAAAGCAAAGAAAGCTCAGGGTGGATCACAAAGTCACCACACACTCCGAGCACAGGGTCAAGGCCACACGGCCAGTTCACATGCAAGAGTACACACATATATATAAAACTAGACAAGCAAGAGCAGGTATATATATATGTGAGAGTACAAGCAAGGTCAAGAGGAGAGCAAGTGAGGCAAGACGGGCACAAGACCCAGCTGAGTGCAGAAGCGCTGATGATCACAAGGCGGAAGTGCCTTGGTGAAGACATCAGCAGTATTGGCCTCAAAGGCCACGTACGCAAGCCGCAACTGTCCACGCTGCTGTAGCTCACGAGCAAGGAAGTAGCGGAGAGCAATGTGCTTTGTTCTGTGCTCCAGTCGCTGCTCTCGACACAAGGCCAGCATGGCCTTGTTGTCTACGTACAGGACTGGAGGAGAACGAGGCGGCTCTCCAAGGTCGGTCAGCAGGTAGGTGAGCCAGCGAAGCTCCTGTGCAGCCATGGCCCCGGCGTAGATCTCAGCCTCACAACTGGAGCCGAGAACAGAAGACGAGCGAGTAGCCCGCCACGAAAAAGAGCCAGAACCAAAGCTGAAGGTGTAACACTGGGACGACCGCTGCGTAGCCTGGTCGTCACCCCAAGAAGCGTCTGCGTGCCTAGTGAGGACCACTGGACTCCGCCCTCCAAGCACTAGCCCCATGCCCGACGTACTGCACAAGTAGCGCAA